CACACACACAAGCACACTTGGCATCACTTCAGCAGTGGTCCTGCAGTACAAACCCAGACTATAGTCAGTGCCCATGTATTTGATGTCTGATGTCCTTTGCTGCTAAAGTATCTGCTAAGAATGTTACAGTCACATTTACAGTGCACTCTGTTATTTCAGCCACTAACCTGTTTCTGTTAATGAAAGCCTCTCCTCCAGTAGTACACTCGTCTCCTGTCAGCATCTTAAAGGTGCTGGTTTTCCCAGCTCCATTTACTCCGAGCAATCCAAAGCACTCTCCGGGCCGGACACCCAGACACAGGCGGTCCACTGCAAGGATACGTCCCATCTTTCTGGATTTGTATACCTGAGGATCAAGCAATGTAACTTTTTGATAGTAATGACCACTTTAACAGAGTAGGATCATTTTAAAGTAATGGCATAACTGAACGAATAGTTTAAGATATGCAGTTGTGTAAAAGTTAGCAAAGTACATATTAAAGTTTAACCTTGGTTAGGTTCTTGATCTTCAGCATGTCATTGTCAGCGTCTCCACGCAGCACTCTTTGTCTCTCACAGGCCACGTCTACATCATCGTCATCGATAGGCTTGGAGCTGACCGGCACCCTCCTAAGCACATATACTCCAGTCATCTTTTAGCGTATTCACTCTGTCAGTAAGTAAGTCCACTTGTCTTTACATATCTTTTATCAACTACAAGAAGGGGGATATGAGCATAGTTTCTCCTTGGTCTGCAGTTACAGAGCTGTATTGTGAAGACTTTTACAACAACATTTTTTAAACGTATTTGTATTTTAAAACTATGTGTATTTAGATGGACCGATCCGATATTACGTATCGGTGTCGGTCTGATACTGACCTAAATTACTGGATCGGATATCGGAGAGAAATAAAAAATGTAATCCGATCTATTAAATATCCCAAAAGCACCTCACAAAACTTGCGATATGGCATAACTCAGCTCAGAACCGTAGCACGTCGGAGCAGTGTGGTCACGTGATAGAGCGGCTGTGGCGTGCAAGACCTGTCCTGGAGCCTCGCTACCAAACCTGCATTTCATCTCCGAGAAAGTTATCCCAGAGAGAAGTAAAGCAAGTGTGTAAGTTCATCTCTGAATGTTTGTAAAGCATTCCCACGTTAAGCTTAACAACCGATATATGGAGCGACTGCCTCTCTCTCTCTCCTGCTGCTACTTCAATCATGAAACTGATCAGTGATCAGCTGATCGTCTCTCTTCTTTGTTTTTGGCCCACTTTGCAGCAGAAAGAGGAAACCAACGGCTGAACAACAGCAGCACGTTTAAGCTTGATCAGCTGTTGTTAGAATGTATTTAATATTACTTTCTACACCAGGATCCTTTTCTACAGCTGACGTAACTGTGCAGGGGCGGAGCTAGCAAAGTTTAGCCAGGGGGGCCGATAGGGCATGAACAGGGAAAAGGCGGCACAAAGACATACTTTTCTTTCTTATTCTCATGTTTAATTTTAATAAATAAATATCTGAATCTTACAACTAAAGTTTTCACCTGATGTAAAATGTACAGAAGTCCATTATAATATTATTATTGTATAGGAACTAAGTCTAACATACCCTAGTAAGCTATAGTACTTTTTCCTTTGGGAACCATCTGTGCAGTCAGTCTGAAAAGGGTGGTTCCCTTTTTTTATTTTTTTTGCTGGGAGTTGGCAACCATGTTAGTTAGGTTGTTTAATATTTCCACTAAGTACTCTTTAAAATACCAGAATGAGGAGGAGGTGCAGGTTTAAGTAAATTAGATTGATCAGTGCTGAACTATGAAAGATTTTGGCTGCAGTGTATTTTTTGCATACAGGTGTAACAGAATAGCTTTAGTTTAGTTTTTTTAAACTTAAGTATGAACTTGTGCAAAATGCAGCAAGATATTGAAAAAAAACAAACGTTTCATTGATTATAAAATATGCTCTATTGGATTTATATCACTATTGGGAGATATCCAAATTTATGATATCGGTATCGGACATAAAAAAGTGGTATCGTGCCATCTCTGTTCACGTTAGCCATATACAAGCAAAGAATAGTGAAAATCAATTTCATTGAGATTTTGATTTTGGCTTCTCAAATTACACAGATTAAGGCCAAGCAGAACTTGGCTCGGGCAGCGGCTGTTGGGTCTGCGCTTCCACAGGCTGCTGGTTTAGAGACTCATTCCCATTAAGGAAGCAAGACGAACGAACTTGCGCAAAGGGAGGATCTCAGTGCAGCCCTTCTGCCCTCGTTCAGACCACTTCCACCCCGGCCTCCGCTTGCTGCCTTTCATTGAAAACAGTTACAGTACACACAGCACCACCCATTGTAAACCCCCCTATGGTTATAAAAGATAAGGTACTGTGTGTGTGTGTGTATGCCTGTGCGAGAATGTGTGTGTTTGCATGTGAGTGTGTGTGTTTGGGGGTGCGTTTGTGTGACCTCCTGCCCACAAAAGGATCATAAAAGCAGGAAGCTTACTAAACAAGAAAACAGAAGCCTCACATAGGATGTGCCTACAATAAACACTACAGCCTCCCCCACCAGTCAACAGGCTGCGGACGGCAATAGAAACAAAGGAATGTCTTTGATCATACAGTTTTACAAATTTAAGTAACACAATGATAACATTTAACAATTTAAACCTAACAGCGGCTGAAGCAAAACCTTAAACTGTAGGAGGAGCTTGGAGAGGCCATGGAAAAAGACTTTCAGATTGCCTCATTCTGGCAAACTGTCAGGTGACTCAAGAGGGGAAAGCAATGCTCCACCCACACTCTGCATAGTGTGGGTGGAGCATTGCTGATTTGGACTGTCGGACGGTGGAAGGAAAACTTCAATGACCTCTTTAATCCCACCTCTTCCTTCCATAGAGGAAGCAGAGTCTGGGGACCAGGGGGATGAGTCGTCTATCACCGTGGGCGAGGTCACTGAGGCAGTTAAACAATTCCTTGGTGGCCCCTGGGGTAAATGAGCTTCGGCCTGAGTTCCTGAAGACTCTGGACGTTGTTGTGGGGCTGTCTTTCTCGACATGCCTATACAATGTTGTGTGGAGATCAGGGGCGGTAGCTCTAGGCTGGCAAACTGGGATGGTGGTTCCCATCTTCAAGAAAGGGGACTGGAGGGTTTGCTTCAATTATAGGGGGATCACACTCCTCAGCGTCCCTGGGAAAGTCTATGCCAGGGTGCTGGAAAGGAGAGTCTGTCCGCTAGTCGAACCTCGGATACAGGAGGAACAATGCAGTTTTTGTCCTGGTCATGGAACACTGGTCCAGCTCTTTATCCTCTCAAGGATACTCGAGGGTGCATGGGAGTTTGCCCAACCAGTCTATGTGTGTTTCATGGACTTGGAGAAGGCATTCGACCGTGTCCCTCGGACTGTCCTGTTGGAGGTGCTCTGAGAATATGGGGTGTCTGGCCCATTGCTACGGGCCATTCGATCATTATACAACTGTTGCAAGAGCTTGGTCTGCATTGCCGGCAATAGGTTTTACTTGTTTCCGGTGGGTGATGGACTTGGCTGCCCTTTGTCACCGATTCTTTTCATAGTTGTTATGGACAGAATTTCTAGGTGTAGCCAAGTGGCAGAAGGCTTTCACTTTTTGTGGTCTCAGAATCTCATCTCTGCTTTTCGCAGACGATGTGGTTCTGTTAGCTTCATCAGGTGGTGGCCTCCAGCTCAGCTGTTTGCAGCTGTTTGAGGTCTTGTTTAGGGTATAGTGCTATTTTCCAGGTTAAATAAAGGTTTAATAATAATTATCCACAAGCGAGGGGAGTGCTGCAGGCACAGCACGGATTGGTGCTGTGCCTGCAGTGATGCGGATGCTGTACCAGTCCATTGTGGTGAAGAGAGAGCTGAGCATTAAAGCGAAGCTCTTATGTCCTGCCTTCAGCTCTCTGTGTCCCTACCTTCAACTATGGTAGGGACACAAAGCTGGACTGAAAGACAGCACAGAGGCACTAATCATGGCAGCACAAGAACAAGCTCTGAGCACAAGATCCATAGAGGCTGGGGTCTATCACACCAGGCAAGACCCCAGGTACAGGCTGTGTAAAGATGAGACAATCCAGCACATAACAGCAGGGTGCAAGATGCTAGCAGGCAAGGCATACATGGAACGCCACAACCAAGTGGCTGGCATAGTGTACAGGAGGTCAAAATGGGAGATGCCCCCTAGGGTGCGAGCTAAGATCCTGTCTGTCCAGAGTCAATCCTGGGAACAGCTAAGATACTGCGCAGGACCCTGTGTTTTATTTACTTATTTTTGCTGTTTTCTGTTATTCTACTGTTTTTAACTTGTTTTCTGTACAGTACTTTGGTCCTGTGCTGGGTATTTTAAATTGCTTTATAAATAAAATTGGATTGGACCCTCAAGCTCCCAGGCCTCTGGTAGACGACGCGAGCATGAAGGCTGGGGCGAGTGGGGAATTATTTTGTTTTATTTTGTTAAGCAGCTGCGCCTCAGACCACGCCCTGCCACACTGATATTTGAAAGCTGTGTAACAGCAGGAAACCCTACTACATTATTTGTCTTATATACGAAGCATCAATCTGAAAGCTGCTTTGGTGCCGGCTTGGTACAGCACATAAGTTCTGGGGTTTTTCCCCTTTTTCCTGTTGTTAAGTCATTCATGGTTAGTTGTGTTTTTAACGTACCCTTTGTTTATATTGTAAGTACATTTTTAGCACAGTCCTCAGCCAACTATAACTGTAGATCTCTCAGCATACGATCCTCTGTGTAACTAAGAGGTAGGCATCCAGTTCAAAACTATATATAGAAAACTCACGGCGGGTTCCTCAGAAAGTTGTACTGACAGAGGATGGTGATGAGGAAGCCAACAAAGCCTTCGACTGTCATTGCAACAAGTCCTCGAGTCACAATATCCCACTCAAATGGTGATTTCATCTTGTCAAACTGCCCTAAAACACATAATTACAACAACTTAATGTGCAGCTTTGCTCTTCAATCTCCTAAAATCATTATGAATAAAACAGAAAAGCCTGCAAGACTGTAAATCTTTGTTCTCAACAAATCTTCTGTAGCACCAAACTAAGAATGTGCTCTGAATACCCTTATAAATCTTTAAGTATATATAGCACAACTTTTAGGTTCTTGCAAGAAGTGTTGGTTCATCTCTGTTAAATAAATCATAGTAGTTTAAGATTTAACTTTATTGTAATTAGCCAGCTCGGTGCTTAGTGTACCTATTTTAGCGTAGTATTCATTGATGTACTCGTTGTAGGCCATCTGCATCAGGCCATGACCCAGGTTGTAGTTGGGGAAGATGAGGAAACAGGACTTTAGGTAACTGTTCACTTTTTTCAAATCCTGCAAAAAGAAAAAAAGAAGTAAAAGAAAGAAATACAGTAAAAAGCAAAGGTCATGTCAGATACTTTTCCATTTTGTAGTATTCATTCCAGTATGTGGAAGAGCAGGTGATCTAACTCAAAGATCACCTGCTCTTCCAAATCTGTACTTTTGCTGTTGAAGGGGAAACGAGTGATGGCGTTTGGCTGTGTGTCTGAGGTAAGATATAAGAATCCAACAGACCTTGTCGTGTTCAAAGAGCTGTAGAAGGAAGGTTGCAACAGTTGCAGTGATGCCTATGAAGAGGTTGATGACTATGAGAAAGACATAGGCTGTACTGGGAACCTTAAACCAGAAGGATGCAGGATACATTATGGGAGTGATCGACCAACTGGAAAGGGGAAGAAAGAAACTTGCTATATGTTTCCATGTTTATAAAAAGATCTTAGTATTTAATTTACATTTAGACAAGTAGTAGAGTTTTGTGAAAACTGCACCTAAACAGGACCTAGCATGATACTAGAGTTGAGTTTGCATGTCAATATGACAAAATGTGCTCCTGGAGACATCCACTGTACCGGAACCACCACGACATGTGGTTTTTAATATTTTTCCCTGTTTGTGAAAATATCTTGCTAATGCTATAAAATTACAGCTGTTAAAAATACAAGTGTGCAGCTGATATCAGAGAAAGGCAAAGTGATGATAATATGTTAGCAGTAATAAAAGCATCCCTATAAATGTTACTTTATATAATGCATTAGCACCAATCGTCTGAACTGTGCGCTAAAACAATTACAAGGAGAAGTGCAGGTGGTGGAAGTGGACTGACTTCTGTATATTATGATATTATGTCTATTTAATGGAAGTCAGTATACAACTAAACTACATAACAATGTGAGCAGAGACTCAGAACCAAGGTGAAAAATCGTGTGTGCAGACAGATGTCTCACCCGTAGAGAAGAAAGAGGGAGAGGACAGCAGGGAAGTTTGTTGGAGAGGTGTAGGCTGGCAGGTCAAACACAAACAGAATAATAACGCAGCATGTAGCAGGTACCAGGTAGTTCAGCTGAGGACAGATAAAAGGAGAAACCATGTTCAGGAGCTGCACACACGCTAAAGCATTGAGTAAGACATTCACATCAGCAACATCACATCCTCACCATATCCCAAATATAGTTGGCTAGCCAGTAGATGACTGGGTCACAGCCACTGACAAACTGCAGGTGTTTGGCCTTTGTGGATTTTTCTGCTACTAGGAAAACCACAAAGCTGGCTGGGACAAAGGACATGGCGACAATAATGAAGATGGCAATCACTACATCTGTGCCCTGGAGCCTGCAGGTACAAAAACAAGGAGGAGAGCTAGTTCAGTTTCAGTTGACAGTATTTGGTTCTCAACAGTCATGTCAAAGCACTTTTGACAGAAACATTCATAAAGCAAAAACTCTCTGAAGTTAAAGCTATACATCAATCTTTGCAGTAAAGGAGGAATCTCTCTCTCTGTCTCTGTCCTCTTCTCAGGCTTCTTTGTGGCTCCTCTGCTATTTGTTTTTCCGAAGCACAGTTATAACTGCGATGGATGATCTGATATCAGTACCTCACATAACTCGCCACATGGCGTAACCCAGGTAGTGACCTCAGCACGTCGGAGCAGTATGCGTCACGTGATAGAGCAGCTGTGGTGTGTGAGACGTCTGGAGTTACTTCACACTCAAAGCATCTGGAGCCTCACTACGTGCTGCCAAACCAGCATTTCGTCTGTGAGTAGGCTCAGTTAAATGTGATAGAACCGACGCTCTCATGACTCATCAAGTGATGCTACTGACCAGCCAATCGGTGGCATTCAGTCTGATGATGTCACATTTTAGTACCTGCTCGGATTGCTTGGAACCCGTGTGAGCAGATACTAAAAACGTACCTGGTACCAGGTACTACAACCTAACCGAAAACCCTGAAAACCGCACCGAGTCGATCTGAGTAGATACGAATGGAAAAGGGGTTTAATAGACACTGGCCCAGGAGAAGCATTCCCTTTTAGGAGAACATCTTTTCAACAGGAAGAGAGGCCTGGCAGAACCAGGCTCAGGGCGTAGCAGCCATCAGCCATATGGCTGGATTCACTCGCTGGACCCACGTCCTCATTTTAGGTTTGACAGTGTTTGTAGTAGATAAAGGTAAATGGCTTAAACATGAACTGAGCTGCAGTTTGGGGAAGGCTTCAGAGGGGACAGGTGGTGGCTCCCGGACCTGGCAGATCCCCCATGAACCAATGAGAAGTGAAAGAATTGAAAAAGGGGAAGGTGGGGCACAAAAACGAGAATGAACAGCTTGTAGAGCTGGGGGAGCATGTATAGATAAGAAGCTAAAGGAGCTTGTTTGGAGGCCGGTCCTGCTCCTAAAATTCAGATACTTTAACTCCAATGAAGAGAAGAGACAAAATACCAGCAGCTGCCAGCGCTACTCCTACGCCTCCTAGCAGAACTTGAGGTCAAGGTCAACAGGATCCAAACTCATCTGAGACTTTTAGGAGATGCACCGATGGTATCAATTTGAAAATCATATGTCGCCTTGTTCTTGAGTTATCGTGTTCACAAAGTAGCGTGTCCATGAAGGGTGACGACCCCCAGTGTTTTACAGCTGAGGGTTAAGGAAGTCTATGACTAACTTTTCTGTTTGATGAATGCTGAATGGACGGGTTCTGACATCGGGGTTTTCTATTCGATCTGAACACTCAAAGCACTTTATACAACCTGCCGCATTCACACAAACACTTTTTCTGTGCTTCATCTATTGAAGTGCTTTCTATATAACACTGACACAGTCATACTCTGTTGGATGCATGGGAGAACAACTTAGTGTCTTGCCCAAGGATTCTTGGCATGCAGACTAGAGGAGCCGGGAATCGAACCACCAACTTTCTGATTAGTAGATGGTCTGCTTTCTTCCAGAGCTACCCAACAATGAAGACTCATCGTTTACGTGAACAGAAATGTGAATCTATCACATAAATATATGAGGTAAAGCCACAGACACTTACAAATAGTCTAAAGAAAGGCTGGCACTGGTGCGATTCATCGGGTGGTTTGTTACTGTGATTCCTGCAAACAAACAGAACAAACAATCTGTTGTGTAGTTAAAAATAACCAACCAAACTGGCACAACTTTATTCAGCAGCTATATCTGGCATGTCTACCGTAGGCAGCAGGATTGCCCTTGGAGGGAGGCATGTTGGCACGCAGGATGGCATTGTTGAGGACATTCAGATACGTTGGCATGCTGTGGTAGCCTTTATTGTTGTAGAGAACCTGGACACAGTAAGTTGCACTGTTAGCAGTATTGTATACTGTACCTGTCCAGTTTAGAGTCATTGCGTCGTTGTCTTTACCTGAGCTGATCTGCGCACCGCTATTTTACGAACCATAGGTGGAAGATTTCTCCCAAAAGATGTTGGGATTGATTTCTGAATGTTGCCCACTGTTAAACCACCATATCTGTAACAAAATTAATTTGACAGAAAACCAGTATGTGCATGTTACTGTATCCATGTGAAATCAAGACGAAGTGTAGCCAAAGAGCAAAGCACAATTACAATAAGTATGACTTGCAAAATTAACGGACTTAGGAATTCAGAAAAGTACCAGCAAATACTGATCCACCATTAATAACATCTGGAAAGTGTCTGATTGATGATTTACTTTTCAGCATGACAATGATCTCAGGAGCTCGGAAAGAAAAGCATCTGGACATCTTTAAGCTTCTTGAAGACGTTTCATCCAAGAAGCTTCTTCATCATACATGACGAAGGGGATGTAATACCCTGTAGACTTCCAAAGATCCACAAAGGAGTCCCACTCAGACCCATTGACAGCAGCATAACCTCAGCCACATACAACACTGCAAACACCTCACCACCATCCTAGTGCCCCTTGTAGGGACCATCACATCAAGAACTCCACGACTTCACCGACAAGGTCCAGAAACTTCCCCTGGATCCAGATGAAACCATGGTGTCCTTTGATGTAGTCTCTCTCTTCACTTGCATACCCACCACGGAGGCCGTGGAGACTGTCAGAAAACGACTACAAGAAGACAGCTCCTTGGAGGACAGGACCAACTTCACACCCGATCAGATCTGCACACTGTTAGACCTCTGCCTCACCACTACATACTTCAAATACAACGAAGGCTTTTACAGACAAAAACATGGCTGTGCCATGGGCTCCCCCGTGTCACCTATTGTAGCCAACCTTTACATGGAGGAAGTGGAAAGGAAGGCTCTTGGCTCTTTCAAAGGAAGAGTACCCAGCCACTGGTACAGATATGTGGACGACACCTGGGTCAAAATCAAGACACAAGAAGTGGAATCCTTCACTGCGCACATTAACGCTGTGGATAAAAACATCAAGTTCACCAGGGAAGACACAAAGGACGACTGTTTGCCTTTCCTGGACTGCGCTGTGCACATTGAAGAGAACGGCAACCTCAACATCGAAGTTTACCGGAAGCCCACACACACGGACCAGTACCTCCTCTTTGACTCCCATCACCCTCTGGAACACAAACTTGGAGTAATCAGGACCCTACACCACCGGGCAGAACATGTTCCCTCTAAGCCTGAAGGTAAATGGACTGATTCTTACAGAGTGCTTTTCTACTCTCGCAGAGTACTCAAAGTCCTGTATACAACATGCCTCATTCACCATTCACACAAGCACTAAACACAAGTGCAAACTAATCTACATTCACACACATTCACACTCTGATGAACGCATCGGAGGGCAATTTGGGGTTAGTATCTTGCCCAAGGATATTTGACATGCAGACTGGGGAAGGCACCAACCTTCCAACCAGTAGCTGATCTGCTCTACCACCTGAGCCACAGCCACCACAGCCCTAAGCTTAAGCCTGAAGGGAAAAAGAAGGAACACACACATGTAAAGGAAGCTCATCAAGTCAGCAAAGATGCACAGAAAAGAAGATCAGACACCAGCTAGAGAAAATCGGAAGGACAAACAGAGCAGCACTGTCAGCCCTCATGTAGCGCGTTTATTAGAGAAATTCAGGAGTCTTCTCCAAGCACGACATCCCAGTGTACTTCAGACCCAGCCACACACTCAGACACAAACTGGTTCATCCACATCCGTTTTCACGCCTTGGCTTGCGTGATTAGGCAGAGGATCAATACCGGGTCCATGACTCTCTCAGAGACACTCCCATAGGGCTTAAAAATCTGGGACTCTCCACCAGTTGCTCTTAGAACTAAAGAAGCTTCTCGGATGGGAGATAAAACGTCTTCAAGCAAGTTAAAAAAGTCCAGATGTTTTTCTTTCTGAGCTCCTTAGACTATAATGACCTGAACTGAGAACCTTCACAGACATCACAATGATCCCAAACACTGCCAGAGCACTAAGCAAACCTAAAGAAGAGCTTTGGTATATCCTTCAAGAAGCCTGGAGAACTGTTCCTGAAGATTACCTAAGAGAGCTTAGGCTGTGTGGAAGAATAAAGAACTGTACAAACTCTGTTTTTGCCTTATATGCTGTGTCTCTGTGTTCACACGTTTCAACAATGATGCCTGCTGTGTACTCTGAGGGGAGCTCGCAGCTACTCAGGCTCAGGAGGTCCCAGTAGCAGCCCATGGCATATAACATATAAGTTATAATTCTGTTTAAACTAAGGTGATCCAACTAGTATTTTGTGTGATTAGATTCATCATTCATCAGTTTGCAGTATGTTGTCAGTATTTCTGTTGTGTGGCTGTTTCCTTAGAGTTGCTCCAGCAGCCGTCCTACCTGTGCAGCCGCACTCTGTCTGATGTGAAAAGCAGATATTCAGAGACGTTCCGGCCTGTGATGTCCACCATAATGTCACCAGTCACCACCTTCATGAGAGGGGGTTGTCCTCCTACCCCACTGGGACAGGAGAAGCCTGTCCCCTGCATAGAGCAGACGCAGCGCACCGGCTCATGGATGGACAAGGGAAAGGTAGGTGGAGATGTAACAGGCTCTAAGCAAAAGTGAAAGAGTCATCATTCATTCAGCGGATCTTTTCCTTAGTCCACGTGGACTTCTCAAAACAGAAAAAACACAGGGGGAATAAACTGCGTTAGAAATGATTTATTAGCTCTCCCAACGAGCCAAGACACAAGTAGGCATCACTATACGTGTCTATTGGTCCACATTAGCAAAATATAATAAGACAATAACAATATTCTGCTTAGAAACATGAAAGGAACACTTTGCAATCACAGTATGGCATCACATAAACTAAACTTGGTGATCTGGTCAGGTAAGGAGCAGAGGGGTTATTGATCAGTTTCAGCTGCTCTGGTGTTAATAATATTAACACCAGGTGGACTAGATGGGCAACAACGAGACAACCCCCAAACAGAAATGGTTTTCAGATTAAGGCCACCGACAGTGTTCGTCTCCTTATCTTTTCTGACTGCAGCGTCATTACTGGTGGCATGAAGTACTCCCTGCACCCTGCAGACGCTGCACAGGCAGGCCAACTCCTACAGCGAGGCACATCAATACATTTCATTATCAGAGGTTATCTGTGTCTCAGCATGCCGTGAGACACAGGCTAGGATAGCTGGACAGGACCGCACAAAGTCCTTAACCCGTCAGCTGTACCAGTATCTGCTCCTTTCTGCAGGTGGAACAGGATGAGTGCTGCCAGAGACCTACAAGTGACAGCCAGCAGCCCACTGCTGTCAATGTCTCTAACCCAACAATCATAAGCAGGGCCTGAGAGCCCGAGGTCCTTTAATGGGGCCCTGTGGTCAGTGCCCAGCACTGTGGAGCCTGACTGGCCTTTAACCATACCAGAACTGGCAGGTCCAGCAGTGGTGCCCTGTTATTGTTACTGTGAGACAGACGTGAACGGGTCCGGAGAAGCCATAGAGAAAGTACATGCATGCATTTGCTGCAATTAATTTCCCACCAAACAGACTCGCATGCTGCATCATTTTTTCACTCTGACTTCAGCCCTCTGTAGATTGATCATTTTCATCAAATGATGTGTCATCCTTCACTCCTAATATATTACCTGGACCACATCACCTTAGACATGCAGCATGATGATGTGTTTCCAAAGTGCTCCTTTAATTATTTTTTGTTTAAGTCAAGTCTTGATTTTCAGATCTAGAGCTACATATGTTAAATGGGTCGCACACATATTATGGAAGCACTTACTATGAACTGTAATTGGAGGAGTGACTGTTAGGTTCCACAGACCGTCCTCAAAATTAGAGTCTGGGCCATCTGAAGGTGCTGGCGAAGGTGGTGGGGGCACAAAGTTGGAGAGGGGGACGCCCTGAGTGAAGGAGTCCAGACACATAGAATCAAAGTATTTGGCAGCTAGGGTTTTGGAGTTATTGGCATTGGGGTTGAGGGTTTGTGCCAGCTGGTCCAGGGTGCTGTTGAAGGGGGTTTTGAGGATACAAGTAGCACCGATACCCGAGGGCAGGCGGAAGGTGTTGATGATCTTCTGTGGGCTGGCGTCTGGTGACAGCTTGTTCCTGAGAGTGGACCAAAGATGTGTCAGTCACATTTCTTTCTATTCCACTGTGTCAGTGTTGACTTGAGCAAAATGCTGCTGTCCACCAGGATTCTGTTTAAAGTAACAGCTTATTTCAGCGTCTAAAGGCTCCAGTATTTGGACTCATAAGATCTCTTTTGGTCAACCTTGCTAAGCTCTGCTACAGGTCGAGGTGACAGGACTCATTGGAATAATATATGAGGTGATCGAGTTAGTCCATGACCCTGAACCATAGTTATGCTTGGCACACTCATCGCTGACAGTCCTGCTAACACAAGGCTATATCGTTTTTAACACAGGTCACTTTGGCTGTTGTGTGTAAGGGTGACAGTAGCAGGCATAAACAATCAGCACACATCATCACACAACTTGACAATTTAGCCACATATACTGAAACTAATCCTTTCATTACTGATGTGGAGATGATTCACCACCAGAAACCCTTTCCATGTCTTGGTAGAGCTTTCTTATATGCAGCTGTTTACTAGGCAAAAGACAGGTTGCTACAGCAGTGTGGGGACTTACGTAGGACAGTTACAATCAGGGCGTCTACGCTAATTAAACCTGACAGTTTAGTATAAATAATATCAAGCATGATGAATTTTTATTTGCTGAAAACATGACGCGATGTTCCAGTTTAATTCACAGAGATATCAGACATTGTTATTTGTCAGTCAAGTTGCTGTACTTGCTTTACTTCAGGCTAGCGTGCACTAGAGTGAGCACGAGCAGTTACTTTTCTAATATCGAGTAATATAAAAGAAGTCAAACACAAACAGTTTGTTTGGTAAATGTTCAGCTGAGAAATGTGACTTCACTGTCAAAGAAACATCTGCAATATTTAGTTTTAATGATAAAAATCTGCATGAGTTATATCAGTAAATTAAACATCATCCTACCTGTACTGGGGTCTGTCTTCATTGGCATAAGGGATGAAGTTGCCTCTTGGTTGGGTGTAGTTATGATACTGAGATGGGGACAAGATCAAGGGTGGCAAATCTCCTGTAAAATAATTCACACACAACATCCATCCATTAATCAGGGATCTTTTTACGTAGATTTTACAGCTCATTGTAAAAATAAAGTGCACTGAGCCCTAGAAACCCATGTATTTCATTAGTTTAGTAGCTCCACTGTTTTAACTGTTGAATGAATAAAATAAACAAATAATTTAAATATCGACTGAAGTGAGCGTGCTCACCAGCTACTGCTACCCTCCACCCTGGTATATCACACATTCTTCATAGCAACACGAGTCACAATGAGCCAAACTTAACAACAAGACGCCAAAGTGACGCTTTCAGTCCATGATTATTGATGCCCTCCGTTTCTAAGCATGAAAGCATAAAATGATTATTAAACTACGCTGCTCTGTTCTTATATAAAATGTGAAATCTAAACATGAAACACACTCACATATGTGCGTGTTTCTGTTACAAATATGGGGGCTTTTTTCTGAATATTTCAGGTGATTACTGCAGGACACGGACATGAATCTCTGGCACTGTGTGTAAAACTCCTCCTCGCCATTTACGCTTTCCAAAAAATCAACAATCATGGCGGCAGCGATCACAGTCACGCCTGCTGACTAAATGTGCAGCATTACCCGTTTGACCCACCGCTGGTTCTGGTTCACGTCTCAGGTCAGTCGGGTTCCACCCCACCCTGCCAACCCAGCTCAACAGTCTGGTCTGAGTAACCCTCATCAGTCATCACTCGTGGACTCAGGGTCCTTATCACTACATCTAAGCGCTTTGCAACCTGTTCTCCAATATGTGCCTTTCTCTTGTTTGTATAGATTTGTTCCTGCTGTCTTACCATCGATACTTTATTGTCATTGTGAATCGTGCAGGAGTAAAGGGCTATTCTATTCTATTCTATTCTATTCTATTCTATTCTATTACTCGGTTTCTTTGCTGCTAATCTTAGTGTACCACCTTCATGATTCATTTTAATACTTTGGTTCAAACATTTGTCTTGTAAAGTTTGATCCACGTATTTTAAGTTTTTCTATTTTAGGAAGATGTTTACGAGCAAAGACTGTTCGATGAATGTGAAATTCAATACAGTTTTATTTACATGTGGCCAAATCACAACAACTTATATCGTCTAAACTGCTGAGAGTCCGCTCAGCAGTTTATTTGTAATAGACTGTTAAAGTATTAGGAGCTCTGTACAAAACTGTATTCACCATAATCTAAATACTGAACTGTTTAACAGTATACAGACAACTTCTACAATCCTGTTCATCTTCTTATTAAGGTGGGACAGCAGCAATATTAAAACCAGCAAAGGACGAGTAAAATCTCACCGATCTCGGGCACAGATAAGGCCACGGTCATGGCCACACAGACAAAGAAGGCAGGCAGGAGGATCTGAGAGAAGAGACCCTTGGTGTTCCTCTTGGCACAGTGAAACCTCTTGATAATAAGTCCGTGAAACTGGCTCAGTTTCAACCACCAACCCTCCAGCTTGAAGGTGCCCTGCCCTTCCAGCACCTCCGGCTCTGGTGACGAGGGGTTCTCTGCATCTCCTAAAGTGAAAAAGTTAAAACATGAAATAGACAAACTGACAAATTATGGATGAGAACAGTAATCACAACCAGTCTGTATGATTCTTTAGTGCTCACACTATATGAGCATTTTTATTCCAGAAGCATGAAAAGAAAAAAGATCTAAAGAAAAACAAAAACTAAGAAAAAAAACATTTAATGTTGTAGCATTGTCACTTGCATGTATTAACTAATAAACTGATGAAAATATTCATCTAAATTTTGACAATATAAGTCACTAAACCCTGAAACGAGCCATGAGATTCATGGGTTCGAGCATCTAAACTCAATTCAATTCAATTCAATTCAATTCAATTCAATTTTATTTATATAGCGCCAAATCACAACAAAAGTCGCCTCAAGGCGCTTCATAGATACAGAGAAAAACCCAACAATCATATGACCCCCTATGAGCAGCACTTTGGCGACAGTGGGAAGGAAAAACTCCCTTTTAACAGGAAGAAACCTCCGGCAGAACCAGGCTCAGGGAGGGGCGGCGGCCATCTGCTGCGACCGGTTGGGGTGAGAGAAACTCATGATGAGAGTGATAACTGTGCTTGTTGCAGGCTTTATTTACACTAAGTTTGTTGTTGTGTCGGATCGCGGTTTAAGTAAAGCGTTGTTCAACCGTGTGAGATCTGGGCTTAGGGAGTCATCTTAGAGTAAATAGTGTTTAATACTGTGGCTGTGCTGTTGTGGGGTGGACCGGGTGTGTGTGGGTTCTGAGGTGTGGTTTTTCTGGGTTAGAAGTTGGCTGTTTGATCTAGTGTCATTGGATAGGGTCAGGTGTGAAGTGGGTCCGCATCTTTTATTTCCCTGCGTCAGTTCAGATGATTCTAGTCGTCGGTGTAGGGCCGTTGGGTGAAGTGGTCTATGGTTAGTCTGCTATTGTGTATGTTTTGTTGACGATATGGGTTGGCGAGCTTGGGGGGGCAGTTGTGTTTCAGGGGTGCAGGTGGGTGGTTGTGATCAGGGTGATTGTTGTGGAGTGGGATGTGGGGCACGTGTGTCAGGCAGTGGTCAGGGATGGAGGCTGTGGCAGTCTGATCCCTAGATATTGAGGCTGGCTGCTGGGACATGAAATGCCACCTCTCTGGTGGGGAAGGAGTCTGAGTTAGTGTGTGAGGTTGAGAGATATTGGCTATAGCAGGCTCAACACAGGATCATCAAGGACTCCAGTCACCCCAGCCATAAACTGTTCAGACTGCTTCCATCAGGAAGGAGGTTCTGCAGCATCCGGTCCCGTACCAGCAGACTGAGAGACAGCTTCTTCCACCAGGCCATCAGACTGCTGAACACTTCATAGACACCTCAGCTTCACTACTGGAACTTTAACATTATGCACTCCACACTGTACAGTAATGCCACTTGTTTTGCACATATTCAACTCTGTATATTATTTTATATATTTTATTTATTTACTCTATTTATCTATTTAATTTGTAATGGGCTTTTCAATCTTTTGTTTGTTTGGTTTTTGGGGTACTTTTTAGAGTAATTTTCCATTTTACTATTCAACTCTGTATATTTTTATATATTTTATTTATTGTTTACTCTATTTAATTTGTAAAATATGTGTACACACACACACACACACACACGTAGAAAAATATTTAGTATACACATCCAGAAATGCATATACTATTATATATTGTACATATATTTATTAGTTTCAGATGTAGCCATTCTTGTATTTTGCACAACTCTGTTGCTTGTGAAGCTCGCACACAAGAATTTCACTCACATGTGCTGTACCAATGTACCTGCACATGTGATGTGACAATAAAAGTGATTTGAATTGATTTGACATGGCTTTGGTTTGGAACCAGTCTCCTGGAGAGGTCCTGGACTGTTCAAGTCACTGCTCCATCTAGTGACTCTGTCTTCTTACTGGGAGACTTCAACACTCACGTGGACAGTGAGACCTGAAGGGGGTGACTGGGAGGAATGGCCTGATCCGAACCAGATCAGGGTTCTGTTTTTGGCTTCTGTGCAAATCACAGTTTGTTCATACCGAACACTATTTTTGAACATAAGGGTGCCCATACACACACATGGTACCAGGACACCGTAGGTTGATGGTCAGTTGTCTTATTGTATTATCAGATTTCTGATCTATCCAGAACATTTGCATGAAGAGAGGGCTAGAGCCATCAACTGACCACCGCCTGGTAATGAGTAGGATCAGGTGGTGGGGGAGGATATTGAACCTGGCACGCCTAAATGTGCCTGGCAGAGGCTCCGCTCTGGGAATTCTTCAACTAGAATGTTGACAGCAGTCTGAAGGAGGCTGATATTGAGTCTATATCGACCATATTCTCCATCTCCATTGCTGAGGCTGCGGCAAAGATGCTATTGCCTGTTGTGGTGGTAATACCTGAACCAAATGGTGAACAGAGGAGGTAAGGGTAAACCTCAAGCTGAAGAAGAATTTTTATTGGGCTTACTACACTGTGGGCAGCTGAGGTTACCGGCAGAAGAGAAGGCGGCTCGTGCAGTAACTGAAGAAGAATTTTTATTCTGGCTTACTACACTGTGGGCAGCTGATGGTGTACTCCCGCCTTTTCTTCGGCGCTTGTGTCGGGGTCTTGCCTTTCCCTCCTGGTCCACTCGTTTGCCCGAACTTGCTTTCAAAAACAACTGAAGTCTCTCTACCAGAGTTTTTGCTTCAGTTCTGCACGAGCGCCGTTCGTGCTGGCGTAGCATGCCGGACTCAACGCAAATCAGGACTGGCAGCACGTGTAGCTAGGAGCCACGTAGAGGGACAGAATATTCTTCTCTCGATAGGCTCAAACAGACTCTTGAGTCATGTTACCTTAACCTCCTCTGTTCACCATGTATATGGGTTCAGGTATTACGCACACTCTTGGAACAAGTTTAGACTATGGCTAATTAGCGAATAACAGTGGTTGACTGTCCGCTCAGCAATCGGGGCACTGGGAGAAATCGCGTTACGAGTAATTTAGGACCTAACAGGCAATAGCATCTTTGCCGCAGCCTCAGCAATGGAGATGGAGAATATGGTCGATATAGACTCAATATCAGCCTCCTTCAGACTGCTGTCAACATTCTAGTTGAAGAATTCCCAGAGCGGAGCCTCTGCCAGGCACATTTAGGCGTGCCAGGTTCAATATCCTCCCCCACCACCTGATCCTACTCATTACCAGGCGGTGGTCAGTTGATGGCTCTAGCCCTCTCTTCATGCAAATGTTCTGGATAGATCAGAAATCTGATAATACAATAAGACAACTGACCATCAACCTACGGTGTCCTGGTACCATGTGTGTGTATGGGCACCCTTATGTTCAAAAATAGTGTTCGGTATGAACAAACTGTGATTTGCACAGAAGCCAAAAACAGAACCCTGATCTGGTTCGGATCAGGCCATTCCTCCCAGTCACCCCCTTCAGGTCTCACTGTCCACGTGAGTGTTGAAGTCTCCCAGTAAGAAGACAGAGTCACTAGATGGAGCAGTGACTTGAACAGTCCAGGACCTCTCCAGGAGACTGGTTCCAGAGTTCTACAAGCGCCATGCGCATAAGTGCAAGATCAGAGTGGAGCTAGGATGGAGGCAGTGACTTGAAGCAGTCCACTGTGTTTGATTGATTAGCTTACTCTCCAGGAGACTGGTTCAAACCAACACGGGGCCATTGTCACATGTCGCAAGCACATTTTCAGCAATCATATGGCTTTGTTATGTATACTTTGTCGAGCATTGATGGTGGAAGGTTATATCCTGGTCACAATCTGTCACATGTAGAGGATAGAGGAGGAGTTCGGATGCATGAGAGGGGGTCTCTGAGCTTTTCCACAATTAGCCGCACAAACTTAATAGATGTTTATGTTAGCCAAAAAGCGGGGTGCAGCCACAAAGATGGCTATCCACATACCATACGAGAAACTAATAACAGTCCCTATGCATATAGAGCGCTAAGGCGTTATCTATTTAGTAATATGGGCGTGCTATATATGTCTGGATGAGGTAGATTACTAATATTTTTTGTCTACTCGATATAGTCTCATGTGTGTGTGTGTGTAATTGTATGTAACACCGAATATGCATATGATGACAAAATTAAAGCACTATATAAACGCAAGATATCATACAATAAATGACCACCTAATTTATATCAAAATATATTACAGGGAGTTGCACACTATGATGGCATAAACACTGGCATTACTGTTGTCAGGTGTGGACGCGTGAGCAGATGTAATGGTGATAAAGAAAGGATTATCCAGTACGTGAAAGCTGAGGTGTGTCTCACCTGAGTGTGTTCTAGACAGTCAGAATCGCGCCTGGGGTGGAAAAGGAAAAGCTCGTCCTCTCAGTATGCTGGTACGGGAACGGATGCTCACAGCACACACCCGATCGCCAGATTACCAGCGCTGGATGGGAGCATCAGGGGAGGGGCGTCCGTGAGGGTCTGCATGCGCTGTGGGTGACTCGGAGGCGAGCTTCGTAATGGAGGTTCGAGTGGGTGTATGTGAGACGAAACTGCTATGTGAGACAATGATCACTCGTGATAAACCTCACACAAGACCAAACTTCAGACGACTCCGTTGGATCCCACCAGAGAGGTGGAATTTCATGTACCACGAGCAAGCATCGCGCGGAGCCGTTCAATATCACACTTACCGTGGACTCAGAGACTCGTCCCCACCACTGCTAGACATACCATAGACGACGTGTGCTCTGCACTACAGTGGGAAAGTGCTTTCGTTTGACGCATAGGATATAAAATGTCTAGCCACAAGGGCGCATCCCAGGATAGCAAGGGGAATGTGGAATCATGTGGGGAAGGGAGGCAATGTGATAAACTACTGGGATGGGATTCACAGGCACTCTTCACCTCGATAATAGGTTCGAAAAAACACAGAAAATATAGATAAATAGACAAACAGAGAGAGATAAATAATTTATCTACAGGATAGAAGTTAAAAAGTTGAAACACACGTATCTTGGTTTAAGGAAAGAACCGACTTTTGATACTCATTTCATAACGACAAAGAACGACCGACAGCTCTTGCACTCTCTCGAGTCATGATAGGCCTTTTCCTCTCTCAGCCGCCTATACCGGGTGATAAGCATGATTGGCCCGCCCTGCCTCCACGTGATAGGCGCTAGCGCTTCATCTTGGGTCGCGAGGAGGCTTTTGTGTACGCGTCAGTGTTAAACCAAGGAAGCACAACGTTTTTTCGGTCTTCGCGCGACTGTGTGCACAGAAGTGCGCTGGATGGAGGGGGGATATGCTTGGAATGGGGTTTTCTCTGATAGGCGTAAGTGATGCGCAGTGAGGCGACTGGCTTTTTTTTGTCTGTGATCTGAGGCGGGCTAGATCAAAATGTATTGGCACACGTACACGTATTAGAATTGGGCTATATTGAATTAAATTGAATTGAATTGAATTGAATTGAATTGAATTGAGTTTAGATGCTCTTGAACCCATGAATCTCATGGCTCGTTTCAGGGTTTAGTGACTTATATTGTCAAAATTTAGATGAATATTTTCATCAGTTTATTAGTTAATACATGCAAGTGACAATGCTACAACATTAAATGTTTTTTGTCTTAGTTTTTGTTTTTCTTTAGATCTTTTTTCTTTTCATGCTTCTGGAATAAAAATGCTCATATAGTGTGAGCACTAAAGAATCATACAGACTGGTTGTGATTACTGTTCTCATCCATAATTTGTCAGTTTGTCTATTTCATGTTTTAACTTTTTCACTTTAGGAGATGCAGAGAACCCCTCGTCACCAGAGCCGGAGGTGCTGGAAGGGCAGGGCACCTTCAAGCTGGAGGGTTGGTGGTTGAAACTGAGCCAGTTTCACGGACTTATTATCAAGAGGTTTCACTGTGCCAAGAGGAACACCAAGGGTCTCTTCTCTCAGATCCTCCTGCCTGCCTTCTTTGTCTGTGTGGCCATGACCGTGGCCTTATCTGTGCCCGAGATCGGTGAGATTTTACTCGTCCTTTGCTGGTTTTAATATTGCTGCTGTCCCACCTTAATAAGAAGATGAACAGGATTGTAGAAGTTGTCTGTATACTGTTAAACAGTTCAGTATTTAGATTATGGTGAATACAGTTTTGTACAGAGCTCCTAATACTTTAACAGTCTATTACAAATAAACTGCTGAGCGGACTCTCAGCAGTTTAGACGATATAAGTTGTTGTGATTTGGCCACATGTAAATAAAACTGTATTGAATTTCACATTCATCGAACAGTCTTTGCTCGTAAACATCTTCCTAAAATAGAAAAACTTAAAATACGTGGATCAAACTTTACAAGACAAATGTTTGAACCAAAGTATTAAAATGAATCATGAAGGTGGTACACTAAGATTAGCAGCAAAGAAACCGAGTAATAGAATAGAATAGAATAGAATAGAATAGAATAGCCCTTTACTCCTGCACGATTCACAATGACAATAAAGTATCGATGGTAAGACAGCAGGAACAAATCTATACAAACAAGAGAAAGGCACATATTGGAGAACAGGTTGCAAAGCGCTTAGATGTAGTGATAAGGACCCTGAGTCCACGAGTGATGACTGATGAGGGTTACTCAGACCAGACTGTTGAGCTGGGTTGGC